TTAATTAATTAGAGAATAGTACATTTTTGGGCATTGTGTGTCTTTCCTAAGGGTAAATGAGGTGTGAGTTTTCTCTGCTTGCATTCCTTTGAGCAATAAAACCAGTGATATCAGCCTTAGTTGCCATGGAATCAGAGGCCTGTTATGCTTTCCTGGGGTGTTACGCATTTCGAGGGAAGGGTCCATAGGTCCTCATATGGCTTGTAAACTGAGGGGTGTTACAGAGTATTTGTTAAATATAGCTAACAAAATATATATTGTGTGTTTGATTGGTCCAGACGCTACACCTTTTTGGGGAACACAAGAATATGCAGTAATCTTAGACAATATAATCCAGATATTTTAATCAAATCCACAAATTCGTTTGAAGAACCAAATATGCCAGCGGTCAGTTAGAAGATCTGGAATCTTTCAAATAATCTCAGATGTATTAATCAAGGTACGAAGAATGGACCCCTGGACAACCCTGCACATTTTGTCTCCCTAATCAAACACACCTGATTCAACTCCTTATCGTGATAGTAGAGATTTCAAGGCCTGAAATTGTTGTCAGATGAGAGAGACATTCAAAATGTGTATTGCTAAGGGGTACTGTAGGACCAGGGTTGGGGACCACTGCTTCCCACCATGTTCAAGTGCATGGCAACAAAACAAGCAATATATCTTTCTCAACTCTGGACCCTGAGGTCCACTTTCCTGTAGAGTTTAGCTCCAAACTTAATCAAACACACCTGAACCAGCTAATCAAGTTAGTCAGGATTACTAGAAAGTTACAGGCAGGTGAGTTTGATCAAGGCTGGGGCTAAACTCTGCAGGAAAGTGTGAGAACGTTGAGAACCCATGCAATGTATTTTGCCCCTTCCTTGTTGAAGTTGTTTTGAACTAACCAGCCATTGGTTTATACTCTATTCTAGATAAAGGTTTCTGAGGAGCCAAGGCAGAAACCTTCTTTAACAATAAAAGAGAAAGTACTGGATAAACCCTCCCCTGCCTCTCTTTCTCCACTTCCTGCTGTTACCGTCTCATCTGACCCCAAAACAGCCCCATCTTCTCAATATGAATCCGCTAAAGTCCCCGCTCCTAATCAGTCTGCTCCCAAGGCAATTAAAAAGACCCCTGTCCCACCCAAAACTAGCCCTGCTCGAAGGCCATACAACAGTCAGTTTGCCCCGGTGTCCACTTCAGCCCCTTCACTGTCCATCGCTGTGGCAGGAGCAGTCTCTAGAAGCACCCCTGCCATTATTCAGTCTACACCTGCTCCAAAATCTACCCAACCCTTATCACAAGCTGTCCCAGTGCCTACCCTAGTGCTCCCAACACCTGATCTTAATTCCCAGCCTACTCAAACGGCATCTCAGATTACCTCGGTTGCATCTCAAATCACCCCTGTCGAAGTAGCTCCTGCTATCCCAACTCAAACTACTCTGGACCATTCTGGCTTAGTACCTTGTGCCTCTGTAGAACCAACCCCGTCCATTCAAAGTGCCCCACCATCTTCTATTTCCACTCCACCATGTATACCAGCCTCTGCAATACCTGTTTCTGCCCCAGCTCAGGTTCCTGCCCCTATATTAGATGCCCCAGATCAGTCTTCTACCACCCTTCCCATTGATGGAAGCAGTGGTCCACCAATTGCCCAAAAGTCTGTAGACCCTCATACGACTGTGACACCAATCCTTCTTCCCCATGCTCCTCCTACCTCCATCTCTCCTTCCTCTGGTCCTGCCCAAGCTCCACCTCCAGACTTACCTTCACTCAATGAATCAGATCCACGACCCTGTGAAACATCAGCCATGCCTGCCTCTAGTAAGTTTCATCCTAATTCAATCTTGGACATGGCATTGCTTGAAATGCATCTTATTTCAGAAGTAAAATTGATTGCAAATGTTGACCTTTTAGTAGACTCAGCCGATCAAAATTCCATGAGTTCTCACAGAAAATCTCTTGTCCATCAGGTGTAGCACCTGCTTCTGACCCCCCATCCCAACCCCAACAACTCCCCTATCCTCATGTCCAATGGTCTCAGCTCCTTCAGGACCCAGTTTATCCAGGATTCCCCAAGAACGAGAAGGGAGAGGTGGAACCGCTGCCCCCCTATTCCTTCTCCCAAAAAGGAGAAGACCTACCGCAAGGTAATAAAGACCCTAGTGATCCATTTTATACTGTATGTAAAAAAAGAAAAATAAACTTTCCCTTCTACCTCAACATTGATTCAAGCAGCCAAATGTTAGACTTTTAGGTAAATTGTACTTGAGCTGTTTGTTGTCTTTGTTGCTATGCCACCCTTATAGTCAGTTTCAGTACTTATGAGTTGACATGTAATATACCCTTTCAAATATAGGCCATTATTCAACTCTATTTTGTCTGTCTTCATCATAATGATTTTAATCTTTGAAACGCATTCCGTATTATTTCAGATATGAATGTCCTCAGGTTCTTCTTCAACCTCGGTGTCAAGGTACACGGTTTGAGAACTCTTCTTTGCATTTATTGCTTTATTAAAGACCACCACTGTTTATGGAATTACATAGTACTCCCAATTTCCACAGGCATACTCTCAGCCGATGTTTCCTCCCATCGTATATCTGGGTGCACTTAACCAAGCCTATCAGATGCACCTTAGAGGGCCTCCTCCTTCCTCGGACTCTCCTGCTAACCCCACTGTGGCTTCATGGCAACCAGAAAACCCTTCTCCTCCTCAAAATTTGAGCTCCATCCCTGACACCTCATTGGACAGCCATGCTCCCATTGCACCTGTAGCATCTGGTAGCGGTCCTGTTGGTCCCATAGAGTTGGGAGCATACAATGATCATCCTGTATCCATTCCAATGCCTCTGCCACCAAGGCCACCAATGACCTGGCCAGTTTCTTCTGGTCCAAGTAGCTATGCTGGGTCGTACCCATCTGGCCCTCCAGTGCATTTTTCCCCACCACCCTATCCACCCCCTGGGACTCAGATGTATCTGCCGTCATCCATTGGGTACCACCGTATGCCACTTCCAATGCCTCTTGAGGCCTTAAACCATGGCCCTCATGGTCGGATGGATGTCTTGCCGTTTGTTCCTCCATCAGTGGACAGAGGTCAAGGGAATGGCCAGAGGTCTGTAAATCCCCAGTTCGGGTCCTTGCAGAAGACCTCTAGCTTTCCTGGAGGCCAACCTCATTTGAGTGCTGGTGATTTCAAGACTGTAGATATTCCCGTTTCAGTGGCCACAATGGAACCTCCACCCTTTACTGGACCTTGTTCTGTTGTACAATCTTTTCCGATTGGCCCCCTGCAAGGAGACATGGTAGGATTGACCCCTTTTACCAATGGGAACTTAGGAAAACAAGGGGGAGTCTTTCCACAGAGCCATCATGCTGGTCCTATCGCAGAAGACCCTTCTCGCTCCATTCACCCATATTCTCCTGATGATAACTGGTCTGTGGAAGAGATGGAGTATCCCAATGTAAATCTTAGAGCAACTAAGTCCTTCTACAGCCAGTCCTACAGGGGTGGAGGAAGACGGGGCCAAGATGACAGAGGAGGATATCGAGGCAGGGGCTACCGAGGCCAGAAAAATTATTCTGGCCGTGGAAGACAAGATGAACAATCGTCTTATAGACATTTTGGGAGACGAGGTGCAGGTCCAAGGGTAGTGATGCAGTTACCATACCCGTGATGCTGAAATGCTGGATATACACTACTTTTTGGTTTACAGTTATATCAGATACACAAAATCTGTTGTTTTGAGTTTATGGGTGGCTTTTGGTAAATGGTATTGATTAGGAATATATCCAATGTTTTTAACAGTTTTCTGGCTTTTTCTCCCCTCACATTCTTGATTTAAAAAAGTACAGCGACTGTTTTACCTGTTCCTATTTCACTAAACCCTTGTGAAAATGTAAATGTGTGTTTGCATTGGTAATGAAATCTAATATTTTGTTTTCTTGTTGCACTGCCCTTACATGCACAGCAAAAGGGAAAAAATATTGGTTTTATATTGATTTGAATGTATAAAACTTTTCATATCTATGTGCACTTCCTGTAAACACTGAAATCTTTTATTTACAACTTTTAATGTGGTTTTTTTTTTAGACTGGTCCTCAGAGGACTGTCTTAATCAGAATGTTCCTGAAAAACTTGTAAACAATTCATCTTGTGCTGCAAGGTGAGCATAATGGTGTCAGCATATCACCTGAGATGACAGGAAAAGTGCCAGGAAAGTGCCTTTTTTTGTTTTGGAAAATGTGGTTTTCGTTGAGTTTCTCACTGCACCTTTATTGCACTCTATCAACCTCCTCCACAGGGTTCTAGGGTGTCTGCTGAATGAATGTTGATGCAAAATGCCTGTAATAAATTACATTTCTGATCCAAAGATGTAGTTTTAACACCAAACGAATAAAAGATTAAGAATGTCTTACTCCATTGTTGCCTTTCCATTTTTCAGTTGCAGTTCCCTTCAGTGACTATGTATTTATATATTTAGCTGGACCAGACCAGACTCTCTTGCCTTATCATTTGTCAAATATGGTCTTCAGAGGAAAAAAGTACATACAGAACGATGTATTTTGACACCAAATACAAGCCAAAGAACATCTTTCTCAGCTGCAGTCTTTCCATTTAAAGTCAGTTTATTACAAAACAATCTCACTGCACAGACGCGTCACCCAATATCATTGACACAACAGATTTTGTGTAGCTGGTAGTGCGTTTTAATATTGAACCGCTTCTAATTGCATCTTCACAAGACTGCAGAATGCAAAAGCCTAATTTTGAGAAATCAGGTTATTTAATATGATGTAACACATCGTGTAACATGATTAAAATATTTTATTCAAAATATACAGTTGCATGTTTGGCGTGTGTAAATTGGTTCGCACCACTTTGTGATAAGAAAGAACTTCAGTTGTTAATGATAACGATAATTCACCCAAACACAAAATGTTTTTTAAATAATGTCCTCTCCTCACAAGTTTGGCTTCATGTCAGAGGATACGTCTTGTCTCTTTGTTGAATCGCACCAATGGCTGAGAGGAGAGGAGTGGAGCAGAGCTGTATGTTTGAAGTGGTGATGGTAATTCATCAAACATACAAGTCCACAGTGCCAGCGCTTGCTGGTCTGATGTCATATTGAGCAGCTAAATTTCTGGAATTCTGTGAAATGGAATCTTCAGTCATCCAGGAAGAAGTCGTCTCCACTCTTCTTTTGTTCCACATCCTTAAAGGCGAAAGCAGATAACAGTTTTGTAAAAAACGGGTACAAAGCTACTGGCCACACTTTGATACAACATCAAGACCATCAAGTCAACAACCTATTTAGACAGCATTTTTGGAAGTCACAGAAGCATGAAACCCTATTATGAGGCCCAAAAATGCTATCTAGCTAGGAAGCTTCAGTTTTGAGATGGTTGCAATCCAAACACTGAATTTTCGAAAAACCTATTAAATGACAAAAGCACATAAAATGACTAAAACTTCACATTAAATAAAGCCTCAAAATACACACATTTCTAAAATATTAAATTCTAGAACTGTTTTAAAGGTGTAATACTAATCAAAAACAGTTAAATAATAATAGCATTGCATTTCAAAAAGAGCTGAAATAAAATATTAAAGACTTACATTTATTTAGAAATGTTGCCTTGTCAACTGAACAAGTTTTAATTGAAATTCCAAAATTACTATAACTGAAATAATAAATTAAAGTGAAATTATAAATATATTTACACATACACACACATATAAGTTCAAGTTGTAAAATTACTAAAACTGAAATAAATAAATATAATAAAGCTAAATATATATATAAAAAAAAAGTTTTAGCAAATTCAGCACAATTCAATCAATGAGATTCAATTCATTTCCTTATTTTAATGTAAAGGCTTTTCCTAAATGCATCTTGGCTAAGACAAACTCCTTAAGACTGTTTATCATACCAAGCAACTTGAAAGTAAACACATTAAATACATGTACATGCTGCCTACTTGGAATATTACATTGCAATGTGGTGATAAATAATTAAAGAGCTAAACGTGATGCATCAAGAAAACGAGCGACTCATTACACTCCTAAATAGCAAATAACACCAGAATAAGACTGGTGTACTCTTGTATTAATTTGATTGAAAATCTATTCAGGGTAGGGCTGGGAGATATGGCCAAAAAATTATCACGATAATTTTTTTTTTCATATCAGTCGATATCGATAATTATCATGATAAATGTCAAATTTTTATTTCTTTCAACTTAATGTGAAAGACGGTTAATTGTGGTTTTAAACTATTCTTTATGGTCAGAACATGACAAAGACTTCGTTTTTGTATTCTTTACACTTTTCCAGTCATTTTTCCTTAACAAAATATGTATCTTAATTAAAAAAATTATTTCTTAGTTCTGCACGTTCTAATGAGTGACATTGTTTCAAATCAAGAAACAGGTTTGTGTTGCCTGTTAATATTAATAATAACATTCTCTTAGAAATAAACATTTGATCGTAGCTTGAGTTAGGATGCAGATGTAGATTTGTGTTCATTATCAAAATCAGTAATATAGATCTGTAAAAACTGTAGCAATCTCATTTCTATATGGTGAAATTTAATTACTCTGACTGTTTGAGGTGTTTTTTTAACCATAGGTCTTCCATAACATACATTTAGATCATGATAATCACAGTTAAAACCACAAATATAGCACCTCGATACCATGATAAAAATATAATATGGCTTCTAGGTATTTGTATGAAAAACAGTAGTATAAATACATTTAGTATAAACGCATAAATGCTATAGCTTATTCACAAAAAATACTGTGATTATATTCCATTACTCCTCTTTCAACACATTTAATACATGTCTACATTAATAATATGTGACCCTGGAGCTCAAAAGCAGTGTTAAGTCGCTGGGGGATATTTGTAGCAATAGCCAACAATACATCGTATAAATCAAAATTATCAATTTTTCTTTTATGCCAAAAATCATTAGGATATTAAGTAAAGATCATGTTCCATGAAGATATTTTGTAAATTTCTTACCGTAAATATAACAAAACTTAATTTTTGATTAGTAATATTCATTGCTAAGAACTTCATTTGAACAACTTTAAAGATGATTTTCTCAATATTTAGAGCTTTTTGCTCCCTCAGATTCCAGATTTTCAAATAGTTGTATCTCTGCCAAATATTGTCCGATCCTAACAAACCATACATCAATGAAAGCTCATTTATTCAGCTTTCAGATGTTGTATACATCTCAATTTCGAAAAATGGACCCTTATGACTGCTTTCGTGGCCCAGGATCACATATAATAAAATTCGACACGAATATCCACATTTCTGACACTCCTCGCTGAATTCAAGCGCTTCACACTGGATCTCACAGCGCTGTTTGGCCGAGACTCATCAGCGAGTAACGCATCTGCTCTAGTGAACTCGCCTTGTGCCGCTGTTTGAACTTTGAGCCGAGCAGATAAACGAATGGCTTCAAATGACTAGTGCTCTTTCGTTCCGCCTTTGCCTCATAAACATTATATTGAACATTTATTAACCTCGTGTTATCGTTTTTCGAGGAAATTTATATCGCGCGATAAGTATCGGTATCGATTTATCACCCAGCCCTAATTCAGGGATATCAAAAGAAAAATGTTCTCAGAAAAGAATATTACAATCCAATAAAATAGGATTAGATTTAGAATTTCAAAAAAAAAAAATGTTTATGATTAAAATGAATCATTTGTTGGAATGTTAACTATTTTGGACTGGTGTGAGCTGATTTTTACCTCCTCCGTCTGGTCTGAGGCCTCCTGCAAGCATTCTGATGAACGTGGTTTTGCCAGTTTCTGAAAGAGGAAACCTCGTTTAGTGGACAATAAATGAAGCCACAATCATCTTCCTTTAACACGGAGCAGCATCTCACTGTTCTCTCCCAGCATGACCATGATCTCAGAGTCGGTGAACTCTCCTTCTGTGATGCCGAGCGTGAAAGCGTCCATGCTAAAGTTACAATTACATAATAATATTTCTACTTCAATTTGTTTTTGTTTGTTTTTTTAATATAAACATCATGGTGGCTGTCATAAAATTTTGAAGGATTTATTTAAACATAAATTAAACATTGAAGAACAGTAAAATGTATAATTACTATATTATATGGTGCAGATATTTAGCAAAATGCCCCTCTCTTCAGTTTATTTTTCTATCTGACTAATGAGTTTATGGTCACCAAATATGTTTTTCTGAGGTAAATGTGTCGTTACGTGACATTGTTTACAAGATGTTATATTGAGGTCTTTGCGCGGCTGAAACACTGATTGAGCGATTACACGAGACAGGATACGGATTGTAAAGTTGTACTCTTTCTTTTAACTTACCTTCGGATGTTTAGTCATGTTTATTTTGTGCTGAAACTGGTATTAATGTGGAGGAGATGATCAGTTCACGTCTTGTACTGCAATACAATGGACATAAATTGAAATCTGAAACTTTGTTTCATATTAAAAGTACCAAAGTGCTTATTGCGATATATTGGATGGGAAGTACCCTTCAACGTTCAGTCCATTAACTGAAAACAGGCTCGATTAATATCGAGATATCGATATTTTTTACCCAGCCCTAATCCATTGAGAAACTAGAAACTAGATTTGAAGTGTATCAGTCAAGAATTCACAGCAAAGAGACATGTGAAGCACCAGCTGAAGCTGGACGTTTGTACATTTACACTAAAATAGCTTTGACCAGATAAAAAATTCTATGGAAGGCATGGAGTAGATTGTGTGCATTTTGTTTTTCTGCAAAGGTTTGATCATGTTGAACATTTAGAGACCTTAAAAATGTGAGCATCCCATATGATACTGTATAGTGTTAAATTACTAGCTTTTCAAGGAGATAGTACCACTGATTGAAGACAGAGAGAAATACAATGTCTATCATTGCATTTTGCTGTCAAATCTTTAGTGTACAACAGTAGTAATTACAAGTGCAGTTTTGTGTGAAACAAACATTTGCATTTTTCTTTTTGCTGAATACATACATGAATATAAACATGCACTGAACAGACAGAATCACAACGAAGGGTCGTTCAATTACCTTGATACAGATTCCACAACCAATGCAGAGAGACTCTGAGTTCCAGACGATTTTACTCTGAGGTGTGACCTCGATACACATCTTACCTGAGAAAACACATGAAAACACATGAATGACACCAAAAACCTGCACCGAAACTGAAATCAGGCGAATTCAGCGGGCGATCCTTACCCATGCGCACCACCGGACAGCTCTTCTTGCACCCTTGAAGACATTTCTTGGGCTTGCACTTGTCATGGTTCACGATAGCGATTCTGGTGTTCTTCTCGGCCATTTGGCTGGTTTGATGTCGCACAGCGGCGACACAGATCTACAGGAACAGATGAGGTCTAGACCTCACTAGAATAAGAGGGAGATAAAGATTTAAACAAGCTAATAATTAGGGTTGCATGATATACTCAAAGCAAATGTACAAACTGCAATATGCATAATCACAACTGCTTGCATTAACTGAATAATTGTAATAGTTTTAACAGATTAATAGTTTAGTAATAGTTTTAATAAATTAAATTGATTTTAATACATATGAAAACTCAGAGTTTTAAGTCATGCTGTCCATGATTTACTGCCCAAAAAATGAGAAATGAATGGAGTAGGGGTGCTTCGATTGATCGGCTACCGATCACTATCGGCCGATAATCGCTTTGGGATGATTGATCGGCGGTCTCTAAAAAGGCAGATCTAAAAAAAAACGATCTCAAGCTGATGACGCTGCCGTGAGAGGTTTGGCCCGACATGCAGCGGGTGAAATAATTATATAATGCTGAATGTGAGGTACTTACCTTCATATTTCTTCATTAAAGCTGCAGTCCGTAACTTTTTTGGTTAAAAATGATCCGAAATCAATATTTGAGCAAGTACATAACCAGCCAGTGTTCAAAACTATTTCCTTACTTTAGCCCGATTCACAACGGTTATCTTATAAAGAGTGCATTCTTTCACTGCATGATTCAGTCTGTTAATATGCATTACGAATGATCACATAATTCAAGATAAGGGGGTTGGAAAATGTATATATTTATATCAATTAATATAGTTAATATCACACAAAGAGTGCCGTTTAAAAAAAAAATCAGCATGGTTACAAATGTGATATTGATTTAATACAACAGTTCAATAAACTAAGTTAATATCAAGAGACTTACGTTTTAGACACCGTATTGGCTGTTTTTGCGCTATTTCGCCAACAGAAAACATTCCAAACACAGCGCTGTTTTGCGTCTCTGAGCAAAATCAACCGTGTAAATGATTCGGTTCATGACCCACTTACTGGCTGATTTAATTTCACAGTATCTTTTAATTTTTAAAATGATTTAAATATCACTATTCAACATTTCATGTTTAAAATATCAAAACATTATTTATGCATTTGTAACTGCAGGTTAAAGTGTAAACACATCTAAATGCCACTTCATATGCAACTTCTGCAAAGATTAATTTTATTGATACTGATTTTATTTGTTTAGTAACAGCCTAAATGTAGCACTGTTATAATTGCCTGATTAAATGTAAGAACTTGACTCAAAAGATGATGCACACTTTTAGTAAAAATGGCTTTATAAAGGTAAAAATGCCCATGAAAGGTAAAAATCAATCTAAAATTATTGGAAAATATTAATTCATGTCGCTGCTGTGAACTGACCACACAGAATATGAAGGATATCCAAAACTTTAGGAGTCAGCTGTCCACAGTAAGATATCTGCACAATAACACACTCAGCAAATATTGTATTGTTTTGGTTTTTTTTGGCTGGTAGAAGTTATAAATGGCCGGTAGCTTAAAAATTTAGTAGCCAAATTGGCTGGTGAGTGAAAAAGTTAATTTCAATCCCTGATTATATTCCTCTGGGAATGCAGGAATTTACCTCAGAGACGTTCCCCCCTTTATTTGGGTAGCAAAGATGGCGCCTGAACGCGTGACGCAAAAGGGACGCGACGCGATCGAAAAGCGCCGGACGCATTCAGAGCGCGCCGATGCCGGGCAAACGCGAACAGCGTGTGGGTGTTTACTGTTGTATTTTACCCCCTTTTTAAGAAAATGATGCTACATTTATGTTAGCTGTGGAAACAGAAGTAAGAAGACACTGTGGTGCGAGTGTTTTTCAGTGCCGGTGAGTGACTGCGGTTTGTTTTGCTATAAAGATTACGTTAGCTGTTTTTGATTAAACTACCTTGTGTTATTGTCAAATTAAATCTTCTAGTCGTTTTTACTTTTGAAAATGTGTTTATTATGTGGTAAGGCATATTTGTCATGGTACTGTGAGATATGTGTATAAATACGCCATACAGTTGAGTTTTCTTAGCCATGTTCATATTAACGTTACATGACTATATGTATGTGTGTGTGTGTGCGTGTGCGTGTGCGTGTGCGTGTGCGTGTCTGTGTCTGTGTCTGTGTCTGTGTCTGTGTCTGTCTGTCTGTCTGTGTCTGTGTGTCTGTCTGTGCGTGCGTGTGTGTGTCTGTCTGTCTGTCTGTCTGAGTGTGTGTGTGTGTGTGTGTCTGAGTGTGTGTGTGTGTCTCTGTGCGTGTGTCTGTCTGTGCGTGTGCGTGTGTGTGTGTGTGTGTGTGTGTGTGTGTGTGTCTGTCTGT